CAGAACAGGCAGAAAGTGCGTTGCTGGGCACCACCACCAAGCAAGGAACTGAGGTAAGTGTCGCCATCTCAGGAGGTTCTGCAGCCTGTGCCGCCACCTCCGAAGAGACAACAGTGGACACCGCTACCTCTGGAGGTTCTGCAGCGTAAGCCGCCACCTCTGGAGATGTTGTAGCCGGTGCTGCTGCCTCTAGCAAATCGGCGGTGGAGTACGCGGCCCAGATGCACCTTAAAGCAACCCCCCATATGGGAAGTGCTGCAGACGGGAATGAGTTCATGAACAGAAGGGTTAGTGTGAGTGGGTTTGGGGATACCAGCGGTGCGTGCAGACACCAGCGGTGCATCCCTCACACTGGATACCAGACTGGGATACCGAAGGACTGACCTTGCTTTTCCTCTGTCCTCACATGGAATAACACTGTTACCTTCACTTTCAGATATCTGCTCAATAAGAGCTGCTGTCCATCCTCCACTGTAAGTCATTTAGAAAGAAAACAGTATTTGTAATGTTAAATCAATACAGCATCAAAAAAGCATATGCTGGTTAGGTATGTTTTGAAGCATGGCAGCTGGTTATGAGCTGATCCTGAGCAGGAGCTAGTTGCTTAGGGCCAGCACAAGACCAACGAAGGACCAGCTTAAACCAGCTCAAACCAGCTGCCATGCTTTAAAACATACCTAACCAGCATATGCTGTTTTTTTCAACAGGGTAGTTACAAATGTGATGCGAACTTAAAAATGTTTTCCCTTGCACATTGTGTTGCAGGAGAAAACTGCTTCCAAGAACTGCAAAGCCAAGGAGTTCCAGCAGCTTGAGTATTGCATTCTACTGACTTCAATCCCTTAAACTCTGGATATTTTGTTTTGGAAATATCTTTTATAAATAATTGAATTTATTGTGTTTGGTCTCCTCAGGGATGTTTATGCATTTACAGAAGACACACCAAAAATTTGTGTGGTAAGGACACCAATAGCTCTGAATGCAAACATCATAATATTTAAAAACATGATAATAAACTTCATTAGTTCTTAATTTTGTCCTTTTAGAGAAAGAAATCCTCCAATACATCCAGAGTGGAAAGCAGGTACTTCTGTTAATTTATAAAAACAGCCCCCTCTAGTGTTGAACAATACAATAATACTCAGTTAAAATCTCTCCAAAGAAATCATGCATTTGTGAACATGTGACTGCTTGTTAATACATTATGTATTTTATTGCATATTTATATTACGTTTTCTCTTTTAGTCCACCAAGTAAGCCTCAGACTCATTCCAAGTCTGCTAAAAGACGTCGGCTTACAAAGGTTTCACATTTCATTAATTATTTGGGGATGGACACTTATGCATTTGTTGATTTAACATAAAAAAATCACCCCAAAAAAATCATTTTTTTTTACTTGGTTGTGTTACAATCTAGGCTGCCAAGGCAAATGAGAAGAAAAAGCTGTTCAGTGATACGGACACAGACAACATGACAGAGATTAGCTGGTTATACTCAGCCAACAGGAAACCCAAGCCCAAAGTGGTAGACTACAGCAGGCAGCCGGTTAAACCCTTCTTTCCACCAGCTGACACTGCATGTATGCTACACCAGTCTCTTACATCTCCAACTGTTGTTTTGAACTCTTGTTTGTCATCTGCAGAGGTTAACTCTACAGTGAAGATGTGTGGCATTTATTTAAGGACTACACACTATTTATTGATAACTACTTTCCCTCTCTCTTTTTCACATCCTTCTGTACGTTAATCTCTTACACTTTCATTTTGTTTCAGTTAAATCACCATATACACCTTTACCTTCGCCAAAACCAGTGAAAGAACAAATCAAGCCAAAGCGGGTAAGAACAAGTGCCATATTCTACAATTTTTTGCTTTTTTGTCACGTTTATATTGTTATTTGGTGGGGGTTAGGTGTTAATTGGTAAATATTGGTTGGTTATGTGGAAACGTGTTCATGGTTGTAACGTCATAAGGAGAATAATTTCCAAATTAACCATTTGCAGCTTAGTTTGGTTAGGTGGACTATTTTTTTATAGCCATATTTATAGTAATTATTAATTTTTGTACTGAATTGGGTGAATAATAGAAGAGACAGAAGAAAATGGCTGAACAGGAGGATAAAAGGCAGCCAAGCATCAATAATAAGAAAGCCACAGGACGACCTCAAAGAGCTGCAGCCTTGACCAGAACCTACAGAGAAACGTCTGACTCAGACAACCAGTCCAGTCTGTCAGAGAGCGAAAAAGCACCACCCCCTAAGGCATGTGGTATTCAGCACAGTCAGTTCACTGGGATCTTTTGTAGTTGTAAATGCCTTTATTTAAGATCTTCAGGGTCTAGACAGACTAATGATAATGGTCCTGATGAGCTTTATTTCTTTGTCTTTTCTGAATAGAAAAAAGCAGTTGTGCGAGCAGCCACGCTTCAGCAGACTGCCCCAGCTCGAGCCACAGAACAAGGAGAAAAGAGAGAGAAAACCTCTGTAGACATGGCCAAACCTCAAAATGAGAAGAACGTACAGAAAAAGGCAGCTAAAGGCTTTGCAAAGATTCTGGGAGTTCAGAGGAATGATAAAGGCAAGAAGATGTGTAGTCCAGAGCATCTTACAGTAAAGAAGACGTCATCTGCTCAGGGGTCAGTCAGAAGACAGAAGGAATCTTGGGCTGCAAGATTATCTTCCACATTTGCCTCGCCTCCCTCCGTTGAGAAGATGAGATGTAAGAATTAAAATGCCTTAGTATTTAGTTATTAGTATTTAGTATTTAGTTATATTAGTTATTTGTATTTGTATAAATGTATGTCTGTCAATTAAGATATTTATTTGCAAACTTTGTGCAATTCAGGGGCATTATTAATTGTGTTAATTACTGGCTCTGAATCACTGAAATTTATTGAATGCACAGCCTGGTATAAAAACAACGTCTTGTCTAACTGCTGTGTAAATTATATTTAATTTTTCTCTGTAGCGGGCGAAAAACTAATAACCAACTTGAGATCCAATGCTACACCTCTCCGTTCTCTGTCCATCTCTCCAATCGAAGCCAACTCTTCTCCACTACAGCCTCTTGGTTCTCTGAAAGCCTTCTCTCTCTGTAAAACCCCAAGGAATAAAGCTGCTGTGAAACCGCCATCTCACACCATAACACCTGTTTCCACAACCTCAAGAGGCTCTAAACAGATTCCACCTGCTGCACAGGTAAACAGGAAACATAGTGCATGTTTTCAAATCACATGGAAAGTAAGATGATCAAGTACTAATGGGCGACATTACAGCTCTCAATGCTCATTTTATTGTTAGTTCTGATCATAAACTTATTTGCCATTTGGTATCTGCAAAAAAAAAAAAAAAATGCTAAATAAAGAGCTAACTTACTTCTGTGGCAAAGTAATTTTTATTTTGATGTTCACTACTGTTCAAAAGTTTGGGATTAGGTTTTAATACTTTTATTCAGCAAGTATGCATAAAAATTTATCAAAAGTGAGAGTAAATACATTTATAATAGCAAAATATGTCTATTTCAAATAAATGCTGCTCTTTTGAGCTTTGTGTGCATTAAAGAGTCGTGAAAAATATATCACACATTCCTGATAACGAATAATCAGAAATGTTTCTTAAACAGCACATCAGCATATTAGAATGATTTCTGAAGGATCGTGTGACACTGAAGACTGGAGTAATGATGCTGAAAATTCAGACACAAGTAATTGTAATAATATTTCATAATATTACTGATATTTATAGATTTTTACAGATTTTTTGATCAAATGAATGCAGCGTTTGAAAGCATAAGAAACTTCTTTCAAATACATTAAACATCTTACTGACCTCAAACTTTTGAACAGTGTATAAAGCCATTGATTTATATTTGTTTTATAACCTTAACATTTATTTTTGTGAAATGTTTTTTAAGTGTGCTTGTGCTATCCTTCTTTATTTAAAAGGAATGCCACTTGGGTTGATATTTTACAGTGTAATACAATTACATTAATACATTTTAAGTGTGACTTAAGTTTCCAGATGTTTTTTGGGGCCACATTGTGATTTGATTGTATTATTCAGTCTTTATTTTAGCATAAACATGTTGTATTTGTCATTGCCTCTCTGATCTAAAGATTTATATGTTTATGTAATGCATAACTCCCGCAGGTTGAGCTGAGTCCAGTCCACTCATTCCTTACCCTGGAGGATTCCACCCAGCCCTCCCCACGCATCCCTCCAGACCTCCAGGAGGAGCAGAGAGGTGTCATGAACAAAACCAGCCCAACATCATTTGAAAGGAGGTCTGTCATCTCTGTGACAATGAGCCAATCCTCTCACATATCTGTGAGCAACATGGCCCTGATGTGCACTGAGCTAGAGGTATAGCTTTAACAGTTTATTTCAGAGCACAGTTACACTTTTCATAGTACTACATTTCAGTAACACACCACTTAATTCTTGTACGACTTATAGAAAACACCAGCAAGCCAGAAAGGAAGTAAGGTTGAGAGACTAGAATTTAAGTCAGGTGAAGAGATTTTTTAATTATGTTGTATTTTTTTATTTTATTTGTTAGTATACAAAAATAAGCATATTTTTTGTGCCAATTGCCAATCAGGTCCAACAGCCATCCACAAGCATCTCACCCTGAGCCACTCCGCTAGTCTTTCAGAGAGAGATGAGGACAGTGGGGAGGACAAAGAGAATAAGGCTCCTTCTCCCTCGCAGCTAGCTCTGAAAATGAAGCCTAGAACGCTGTTTGTGCCTACTAATAAATCCTTCACTCCTAGTAAGGGTATTTATCACCTTTTAAAAAAGATAATGCATCATCCTAACTAGGCATGGCGTGGCAAGTCACCAGCATAAAGTATTTTTTCCATGTGGTAATACCAGCCAATCAGAACATATTTGATGTTTAATATACAGCCATGAAAAGCTAGATTCAGGACCAATAAGATTTCACTGTGGGCGGAGCAACCAAGCATGATGCAGCAAAAATAGAAACCAAACAACCTTGTTGAGTTCAAAAACTTTGATTAACTCAAAAAGTGTAAATGTGATTTATAATTTGATGCTATATAACATGACATAATCAGGATAGGTCTCTATATATACATAGCACATTACTGAATATTTAGATTTTGCAGACAGTTTTACTGTATGTGCATCTCAGTTTCTCGGACACAGATTAATCCCAGTCCTGACTCATCAGACACGGTTATTTTTTATTCTTCTTGGAAAATCTTGTTTTCCTGATTAAGAAATTAGCTCAGATTGCATTTGATTCTGTGAGCGATGTTGTGTTGCTGTGCCTCAGGCCCCAATACTAAACCGCTGGTGAAGGATCAGAGCAGCTCGGAGGAAGAAGAGGAGGACATAGTCACAGAGAACGGGAGAAGAAAGAGAAGTTACCAGAGAGGCCTAAATAAAAGGGCCAAGGAAACAACAATATCCAGTAATAAGACTTGAGAGAGAGAAAGTGTTTCTGGGCACAAAATAAGGCTAAGAATTTGCTATTGATGTCATTTAAATGTTTCGGGGTCGGTGAGGCTTTTTAATTTTATGTTAACCAATTTGATCAAAAACAGTAAAAACTGCATTTTTTTTTAAAATTCTAATACGCTGATTTGGTGCTCAAAAAACATTTCTTATTATCAGTGTTGAAATAGTTGTGCTGCCTAACATTTTTGTGAAAACCATATATATATATATATATTTTTTTTTTACATTTAACATTCAACATTCTGTCACTTCTGATTAGTTTAAAGGGATAGTTCACCCAAAAATGAAAATTCTGTCATTATTTACTCACCTTCATGCGTGCCAAACCCGTAAGACCTTCATTCATCCTTAGCACACGAATAAAGATATTTTGATGAAATCTGAGAGCTTTCTGACCCTGCATAGACAGCAACGCAACTGAAACATTTTAAGACCCAGAAATGAAGTAAAGACATTGTTAAAATAGTCCATGTGACATCGGTGGTTCAAGCGTAAACTGAATGCACACGTATGCATCGTAGATCTCTTGTGAATGGCGGTGGAGACTGACACGGAAGAGAAGAAATTGTTAAAATAGTTGTTATTTTTGTTTTCTTCATGCACAAATAGTATTCTCGTAGCTTCATAAAATTACAGTTGAACCACTGATGTCACATGGATGATTTTAATGATGTCTTTACTGCCTTTCTGGGCCTCTAACGTGTCAGTTGCGTTGCTGTTTATGCAGGGTCAGAAAGTAATTAATGGCAGAATTTTAATTTTTGGGTGAACTAACCCTTTAATGCATTCTTGGTGAATAAAAGTATTTCTTACAATTAAAAAAATCCCACTGACCCCACATTTTTGAATGGTTGTGTAAATATAAAAAATTGAATAATTCAGAAGCTCAGTTGTACTGTACCTCTAAGTGCACTTACTGTACAGGTGTGTGTGCTTTTGAAAGTGCTTATGAGTGACTCATGGGTATGTGTATGTGTGTTCCCTCCAGCTGAGGAAGTGGAGACACTGTCATCTTGTACAAGGTCCAGCTGCAGGCATGCCAGTGTGGAGGCAGACATAGACCTGACCCAGCCTGCTCAGCAGGTGGGCTTTATCTGCCATCAGTTCAGCTCAGAGCTTAAGAGGAAGATCAAGGTGCTTGTCATCTCACTTTTCAAACTAAATCAGCTCTGGCTAAACACGCCAGCTCTTATTTGAGGATTCACATCCTTGCATGGAAAACCCGCTGCACATCCTATGGAATTTAGTGAGTGCGTATTAGCATTTTCTAATAACTTGTCTTGTGCATTTGTCAGAATCGATGCAGGACAATGGATCTTTACACCAGGCAAACTTTGAAGACCTTAGGGCAGCACATGTCATCTGTCAGCGTCCAAGTGCACCAGTACAGGTCAGACATGACCCTTGACCCTAAAGAGGTCAGAGTTTCTGCCCGGTAACACATCTGATATTTACCTCTACCGCTTTCTTTATCTTGCCTAATATATAGTACTCAGAGGCTGGAGAAAGTTAAACAAGTCCTGTTGAGCGAAATAGCAAACCTGGAGCAAGATGACATTGTTTTGGGAAGCATGGAAGAGGAATTGACGGTAATGAGTGTTATGATTTGCCAAATGTCTATAATTGCAAACGCACTTTGGCAAGTAAATGTGTAGAATGTATATATATAAATGGCCTTTGATTCAATCACACTATATGTACAGACTTACTGGGAGAAGCAGACCTTGGCCTTCCATGCTTACCAAGAGAAAGGAACCAAGAGGTGAGAATATAACAGCTGCATGAACATGAGATGAATGCCTTAGATTTCCCAGCTCTAATGTAAATGGAACTAATCTTCCCTTCATAACTGTTCTGTTCGCATAATATGTAATCATGTCTACAAGACCTGTTAATGACTAGTATGTGGGTTGTTCTGGGTCGCAGTAACAAACAGGATTTTCCATGCGTTCGTAGCAACAGGGGGAAAAACAGCAAGAATTATGTAATGCTGATTATTTGTTCACTCTGTAATGCAATTATGCCAAGCATGTTGTGATTTCTTTAAAAAAGGGCAGCTCAAAGACAAGATTTTAGACAGGTAAATTTTTTACTGCACTGAGGGTTGCATATTAAAAAAAAAAGTCGGTGTAAATTGAACATTTAATGTTTACATGCACACAGCACATTTTTTGCAAGAAAGCTACTCAACAGTGTTTTGTAAGGCATGTTTCAAAGAATTTGTCTATTTCTCTAGATTCAAACAAAGTGAATGATTGAGTGCTTTGAATAGTTCCCTCTCTATTTGCTGTTTGTACACTGGATTTGTCATGTAAGTGCTTGTCTTGCTCATTCTTGTTGTCTCAGATTACAGCAGTTGAAAAGCACCATTCAGACTGACGCGTGTGATAGTCTAGAGTATGAGAAACAAGTCTTCTCTGTGGAGGTGAGGAACTGAACCTTTTTTGAGTGGAGTCCATCATGGTTCAGTAGTTATACTTACAGTTCAAGCCATTTTAAACTTTGATTGTCTAGAATAGAATTTTTGTTTTTTTGCTTTTGTTGCAGATGTCTTTGATGAAGAAGAGCATGAAGTCAGTTCAGGAGCATTTCTTCAAAGAAATAGTGAGAGCCCAAACAGAACTGATATTTTATACTTGATATCACACAATTCTGCAGGATTGAATTCAAGTATTTTTGTCTTTGTAGCACGAGGAAGAGTTGACGAGTGTGCGAAGAGGACTGCAATCCTTGTTCTTCCCTGATGCATCAAGGTTCTGACTTGAGGGAAAAAAATCTACCGTTTGAAAATAACTTTAAACTACTCCTAAAACCTGTTTGTATGCTTAGATATTATTAATGTTATGTTCTTTTAAAATAGCATTACTCAAAAGGTTGAATATTTGTACTTTATGCCATTTATTCTGGTCTCCTTGAAACAATGGTTGGCTGTACATAGTTTTAGCGCACATATTTGCTTGTGGTTTTTAATATAAATAATGAATAGTTGTGAAAAGCAAATAAGTAAATGTTATAGTAATGTAAGAACAAATGCATTTATTTCTAACAACCCACCTCATAAACATCAACTTTAGATGCATGTGCGCAGAAATTAAAAGGATACTACATTCTGAAGCCATTTTTTGCATTTACACTAGCAAGGGCCTGAATAAGCTAACTGCATGGGTTCAATTGATGGGAGATGTTGAAAAATAAAGAGAAAAAAATACTAAAAGGGTTATTTTTTTTTTATCATTTTTACTTGCAGTTGAAGGCTCTCAAAGATTAAGATCAGATTGAGTGACTTGATGCATTTTTGTTATTTAATTAGTGTCCTCTGTAAATGGAACAGGTGAAATAGATGGGAGGAGGAAACACAATTTACTTCTGGTTTCATGGCTGAGATAGAGAGACAGATGTCTTGCAGTGTTATCTATTAATACACACACTGTTATTCAAAAGTTTGGGGTCAGTATTTTTTTTTTAAGGATACTACATTCTGAAGCCATTTTTTGCATTTACACTAGCAAGGGCCTGAATAAGCTAACCGCATGGGTTCAATTGATGGGAGATGTTGAAAAATAAAGAGAAAAAAATACTAAAAGGGTTATTTTTTTTATAATTTTTACTTGCAGTTGAAGGCTCTCAAAGATTAAGATCAGATTGAGTGACTTGATGCATTTTTGTTATTTAATTAGTGTCCTCTGTAAATGGAACAGGTGAAATAGATGGGAGGAGGAAACACAATTTACTTCTGGTTTCATGGCTGAGATAGAGAGACAGATGTCTTGCAGTGTTATCTATTAATACACACACTGTTATTCAAAAGTTTGGGGTCAGTATTTTTTTTTTTAAGGAATTAATATTAGTTCTTAACAAAAAGAAAACCGCAAGGATGCACTGAATTTATCAAAAGTGAAACTAAAGTCAATGTACTTTATCATAATTTAATTTCAAATAAATGCTGTTGTTTTGAACATTCTGTTCATCAGCGAATGCTGATAAAATATATCAGTTCCCACAAATAACGGTTTTCAATATTGATTGAGCAGCAAATCATCATATTAGAATGGTTTCTGAAGGATCATGTGACACTGAAGACTTTAGTAATGATATCACAATATTACTGATTTTACTTTATTTTTGATAAACTAAATGCAGCCTTAGTGAGCATAAGAGACTTTTCAAAAACATTAAAAGCCCTATACATTTGAACTGTAGTGTGTGTGTATATAATCAAACTTAAAAAAACCAACAACACAGAAGTATTTCCAAAATTGTATTTTGAAGACAAGTAGTGCTTACAAAGTTTTTTTTTTTTTTTTTCAAGTGATAACATGAACAACCCTGTTCAAACAGACTATTGTAAAGTAAATATGAAATTAATTTATAGCAGGCTTATTAACCCTCAAGTTGTTTTTTTTTTTAACTTGTTTTTTCAGAGTGGAGCTGGTTACATGTACACAAACATTTACCCAGAACTGATTCGTCTTTTCTTAGCAGTCACTGAAATGCAGTCCAGTTCTAAAAACATCAAACAGTCCTCTGCCGCTCCACTCTGTCTGCCTCAGGTTAAATGTATCTGCAGATGTTCTTCAGGTTTCTCCTGTGGCCGCCTGCGGTGGAGCTAACCGCACCCAAACACCACTCGGCCTAGGGCGCTGGAAGAATAAGGGAATCCCATGGATGAAGCCATGGCTCTGAAAGAGGCACCTCCAGGATTTTAACGCCACTTTCAGCATTTTCTTCACAGAAGAAAACCCCCTCTTAGGGCCTGTGAAACCTGATTAAGAGGAGAGAACTCAACAAAGGTGCCTTTCGCAATCACAACCACCATATGATTGGATGACACTGTTGCATCAATCAGTTATTTTTAGTAAGATCATACATGAGAGCTCTAATGGCCACTAATGTCATGATTATGTCGTGAGGAACCTGTTATGCAAAAACCACTCGTGTCAAGGTGACACGGTCATGATTTTTATACGCAAACGCATTTGTGTCCGTCATTTTTGATTTTGTGGATCTAAAAATAGCGCTGGCGCATACTCGCATACTGACCTCGTTAGGTGTTTGCTCGAAACATGGACCTCCATCTCGGTGCTTTTGAACTCGTTTAGCTCTTTACGGATGGCCGCCTGTGGAATCGCAAATAAAAGCCACTTAAACGCATCCTCAAGTGACATGTGCACTCCATAATGAGTTCGACCGAGTCATGTGGGGAGAGTAAGCAGACTACTAACACAAATTAGATTGCTTTTTAGTTGCTTCACTAATATAGTGGGTTTAGAAACCTTGAGAGAACCACTGAGAATAAAGGAAAGCCCATTTGCCTCTGTGTGCTCTTACTGAATGAAAGACTGACCACAGATGTGGTGTAAAGATTTGCTGAGGTCAGCTCTTGGTCTCGTACCTTGTCAGCTGCAGACAGTCTTGTCCAGGGTTTGTCAGCTCTCCTGTCATAGTCCTGGGCTTTGGCCACCTCCACGTAGTCACTGAAGCGGATCAGAATCTTTCTTTCTCTTAGTTCATCGACTGTCGGTCTCTGGTTGAGCTGTGAGAGGAACAAAACGATACTGTTAGCGGGGCTGCAAAGGTTATGAGATACAGGTCTAATGTTGCAAGGAATGCATTTTAGGACTAGAATAGGACTGGAATGGCTGTTGACCAATGAGATCGACTGGTTCTTCTGGTGATAGGGACAGTATGCCTAAAGACCATCCTTAACATGCTTTTTTATCATCATACTCTTATTTCATTTTGTTTATATTGCTCTTTATATCACACTGTTGTTTTGAGGTAAACTGCAGATTTTTCTTTCTTCTTTTTTTTTTAACCATAAAGTAATGTAGGCAAGCCATAATGGTTCATGGTAAGTGTATTAATCAAAAGTAAATAACATGAAATTAATTATATGTTATATTATAATAATAATAATAATGTTATCCAATTTTTTATATATATATATATATATATATAATTATGAAAATATGCCAAAAAAGGATATAGGATATTGTTGTCATTGTTATCGTTGTTCTATTTTTTTATTATTATTGTAGTTTTTAGCATCATCATTAACAAAAAAACAGCAACAACAATGTGTAATTTTAAAGCACACTGAAAAAATGTGCCAAAAAACCCCGATATGATTCCGAAACATAATAATAATAAAAATAAATCATTCAATTTTATTATTTAGATGTTCATTTTACTCTACATGTCACATAGGGATATGCCGATATCAAATTTTCATGTTGCAATTAATTGCTAATGCTTTTATCACGGTATACGGTATTATCACGGTATTGCAATTTAGTTTAAAAAAGTGCTGTCATAATACAGTATAACAGGTTTAATAACTTTTTTCTTATAACAAAAATAACTGAACATTTAAATGCAATAAAGCAATACAGAAAAATGTATAAAGCTAAAAGTTTTACACAGATTAAAGTGCAAAAGAACTATAAAGACCAATAGGTATCACTTTACAATAAGACCTCATTAGTTAACCTTAGTTAATGCATTAACATTCACAACGAGCAATAGCTACATTTGCTACAGAAGTTATTAATCTTTGTTAAAAAAAATACAAGTCTTCGTTCATGTTAGCTCATTAAATAACACAGTTGCAACTTTCGATTTTAACAACCTGTTATTAAATATTGGAATTAACTAATGAATGAACTAGTGTTAACTAATGAAGCCCTAATGTAAAGTGTGACCGAACAATAAAGAATCAAAACACTTTCAAACAATATCTAGGGCATGTTGTAGTCCAGATTAAAATGTAAAAAAAGTTTGAAAATAAATAGCCTGTTAAGTCTAAATATTTAAGTATTTGGCGCTGTGATGAATATCATAGCAAATACACAAATCTGAATGGCTGCTTAAATAATTTAAACACGATTCAGAAACGGAAAGTAACGGGGTAACGGCTGCATTTCTGCAGTTTAGCTTCATCTGCTGTCAGAGAGTGAAAGTGTGCTTTCATCCAGAGCGTCTCTCACATGTTCCGCCATGTGCTTCTAGTCTGCGCTTGTTTACATCAGAGTGCGCACGCGTCTGTCACGCAGCATACAGTGGTGTTGACCATTTTGACCAGTTGATGGGGAAAAGTATTCTTAAAATGCATTCAAAATTCTGAATAATTTGTAATATATAATTATTCAGGGTATTTAGAAGTGCCCACCATAACAATATCGCGCATATTCATTACCGTGATATATCGCATTACTGAATACCGGCACGTGTCTAATGTCACACCTCCGTTTTGAGGTAAATTGCTAAAAAAAAAATTATGTAGACAAACCATAGTGATTCATGCTGAAACGGAAAGTAACGGGGTAACGGCTGCATTTCTGCAGTTTAGCTTCATCTGCTGTCAGAGAGTGAAAGTGTGCTTTCATCCAGAGCGTCTCTCACATGTTCCGCCGTGTGCTTCTAGTCTGCGCTTGTTTACATCAGAGTGCGCACGCGTCTGTCACGCAGCATACAGCGGTGTTGACCATTTTGACCAGTTGATGGGGAAAAGTATTCTTAAAATGCATTCAAAATTCGGAATAATTTGTAATATATAATTATTCAGGGTATTTAGAAGTGCCCACCATAACAATATCGCGCATATTCATTACCGTGATATATCGCATTACTGAATACCGGCACGTGTCTAATGTCACACCTCCGTTTTGAGGTAAATTGCTAAAAAAAAAATTATGTAGACAAACCATAGTGATTCATGCTAAGTGTATTAATCAAATGTAATTAATTCGTAATTAATTGCACACTGAAAAATACGCCAATAAAACTATATGACTCCAAAATATAATAATAATAATTATTATTATTGTTGCTGTTGTTATTCTTGTTTTATTATTTATTATTAATGTTGTTGCTGTTATTATCATCATCATCAACTAATAATAATAACAACAACATTTTTTAATTTTGTCTGCAATTAATTGCACATTGGAAAAATAAAAGCAAAAAAACAAATACAATATGACTCCAAATATAATAATAATGAATATTTAATACATTCTTTAGATGTATATTTTCCTTTCGGCCTTTTTTCTCTATATATCACACCACCATTTTAAGATAAATTGCTTTTTATGTTACCATAAAATAATGTAAGCAAGTCATAATGATAAATGCTAGGTGTATAACATTTTTTTTAAATAATGTGATTAATTGTACACTGGGGAAAAAAGAGCCAAAAAACTATGACTCCAAAATATAATAAGTATTATTATTGGTCATTGCAGACATGCTGTTAAATATCCCAAGCATTGAGGTCCTGCGTTTGTTTCTGGCACGTCAGTGATATTCGGCTCATCTTTTAATAGTGTACTTGAACAGAGGTTCCCTCAAACTGATGCAGCTCATTCTGAACATTATTATTCCACAGAATTGCTTTACCCTTCTGAAAGCGTCTTTATTGCAGGTAGTAATGTACAGCAGCAGTCAAAAGTGTCATTTTACAGACCAACAACTACCTTACATTCAGTGACCACCATTTATACACATACATTAGAAAAATAAAGCATGCTGCGAGTGAAATGAACCTGAAGAGAGCTTGTTTACCTTTCTGTTCAGTCTCTGTTTGATCTCTCGTCTTTCCTCCTGCTCCGTCTGATCGTTCCTCTCTGAAAGAGCCAAAGAGATCAGTCACAGGGTCACTCAACAGACCTCAAAAAGCTGTTAACACATTTAAACATTTTGACTGAAATAATCGATCACATTTTCACCTTAACAGCCACCAAAAACTACTCATTAATAAAACACTTAATTTAAGAAATGTTTTTTCTCACTGAGTAAATTATTTAATATTCTATTTATTATTATTATGCATATTCGTATATATATAGATTATAACATTTTTAAATATATAACTATTATTAATAAAACATTTAATTTAAGTGCTGATTAAAAATATGATAAAAAACACTTGTTTTTTCACTTATAAAATTACTTAAGATTTAAATTATATATGTATAATTTCTATTATAAAATTATTTATTTATATATATATATATACACACACACATTCATACACAGTATTATTTGTTTATTTATTTACAAATATAAATGTTATTACAATGAAGTAGCAATAGTGATATTATTACTGTGCAATATCAGAAACAATATTCAAAATGACTTAATATTTCAATTGTTATTCATGCAATTAATAATACACATATATAATATAAAAATATTATTTACCAAATATAAAGATCAATACAACCAAGTAGCAATTTAGTACTGATTTAATTATTAAATGCTAATTAAAAATATATTTAATATTTGTATTTATTGTTCTTTTTTATATTTTGTATAAATGTATTTAAAAATCACATATTTTATAAAATATTAAAATAGAATACTATTTGTATTATATATTGTATTATTATTGATGTGCATATAATACAACAACAATAATACTAAAATATATCTATTTAACAAATACAGTTATTATTACAATGAAGTAGCAAAGGTGATATTATTACTGTGCAATACTATAAACAATATTAATTAATAACATAATGTTTATTAGTATTATACTAACAAACAACAATTGTTGATACATGCGTACATACATTATTTACATGTCTGTGGATGTTGATCATTTTTGTCGCGTAGCCTAATACTCACGTTTCAGAATATTTCTGCACTCCAGCTCTTCAACGGCCGGCCGCTGACTGAGTCTCCTGCGGAGAAAGATGAGAATAATGTGTTGAACCATGCTGTCTGTCCCGCGCTGAAGCGGCTCAGTGAGATCCTGAGGGGACGCTCAAAGTCTCTCGGTCCTTTGTGTTCAGCCTGACCGCTATTACTCCGCATCTGAATGCAAAACGCCCGGGTTTTGAGCACCTTCGCTAAATAAACACCAGCTATTAAGATGCGGCGCTGAAGTGAGAGTGCGCTCGGTGCATATGAACTCGTGCTGCTTGTTGTGGTTTCTTTGAACAGGCAGGCGCGCGCTGAGTGAGCTCTTTGTCATGCGCTCTGTCTCGCCTTTGTAGTAGCGCACTAATTAAGTGAGTCTTTTTATTGTTTGAGAATCACTTATTTCAATATAATATGATGGCAAATAACATTTAGAATCAAATGTAGATCAGAGAAACTAGGTCACTCCTAGCAGTAGCCTATGTCTTAATATATTCTATTAAATATTAAACTCACTTTTTATAGGCAGAAATCCTATAGTGAGTTTTATTCATCTCATTTCACAATTACGTGAACATGGGGGATATTTACAAAAAAAAAATGAGATACTTTGGTTTGAGTGGATGTTGCCATGAGATACACATTCAATTCTGACTATTCAATTTAAATTTAAATTATTACAAACATTTTAATGTAATATTCCAGGTGTTTGTTTTTCCCTTTCTCTAGCCAAAATGATTCACTGGGAAAATTGTTTTAATTGGCAATCAATTTACACTTTATTTTCCCTGTCACCAATCTTACTTTTTATCCTCTTAATCTTTTTAATATCCCTAATTAAAAGCCAGTAAAAGCCAGTCTTCCAGGAAGAGACTTAATTCAAAACATTATAATTATTATATTTATTACAGATTATAATTACAACTATTGCTTTGTCTCACTAAAACAGTATTCTGTTCGATATAAAATATTAGTAAAATAATATCAACGCTTCACACCAGAGCATATTGTATGTAAATGTATGCTATATTTAAATAAATAAATCAAGTTTGTGTTGTAATTTAAGGAAATTTTGGTATTTTATAATATATAATATGTGACCATAGACCACAAAACGTCATAAGGGTCCATTTTGAAAGCTGAATAAATAAGCTTTCCATTGATGTGTGGTTTGTTAGGATAGGACAATATTTGACTGAGATACAACTATTGTTAAGTCTGGAATCTGAGGGAGCAAAAAAATCTAAACATTGAGAAAATCGCCTTTAAAGTTGTCCAAATGAAGTCCTGAGCAATGCATATTACTGATTTAAAATATGTATTTAAAGCAAAACGGTTTTGACATGCACTTTTTAAAAGTGTACTTAAGTGTGTTGGAAACAGTGGTGAAAGTGAACTCTCTTTAAGTGAGCTTTTATTTTATTAATATTATTTTATATGCAATTACAGTTTTAAGATTTACACATTTAATACAACAGAGTGCAGTAGTGCTTCTGGTTCTGGAAGCATTTTTTTCCATACATTTTTCCATAGGGATTTTAAAAAAAAATTTGTTAAAGCATTATAAGTCATGAACTAAACCAACCAGCCAAACTTTTATTAAAAGCACAAAAGTATTTGAACATTGGACAAAAAGACAGATGTACAAGACTGTAACGGCTTTAGTAAGGGAAAGAACTACAATCCCATAAAGCACTGCGAATGACATTAATTGACTTAATATAAAACTATATTATTAGAATTATAATATAATAAAAATATATATTTTAAGTTTATTGCAACATATGCATATATATATATATAAATATTTAAGCATTTTGAGAGTGTACGGAGACTGACTGAATTATGTTATTTGTGGTGCTCATAGGAATGCGCAGAGCTAAACATCTCTTTTAGCACGATTTGCTCGCTGCGACTGTGATTGGTGGAATTTAACACAGCATATACATCATCATGGATAATGGTAGATTTTCACCACAAATTAAATCCTCTATTAAAAATGATTATTTTAAAAATAAGTTCAATTAATCCAAAGAGATGGGTTCAACAATTGATTATCAAGTTTTGTCTTTGAAGTTTAAATGATTTGGAAATGATAAAATTAGATTTTAAAAATGTATTTCCCTCATGAAGAAAATGAATGGAATTTTTTATAACAATTATAAACACTATAAGCCCTCTATTAAGCCCCCCCCCCCCTCTTTTTTTTTTTACAAGGGATATCTTCAAATTAAAATGGGATTTTGACAAATCAATACAGATTTACTATCAATATATTTGATAAATTATGTGTGTTATGTAAAATAATCAACATTGTTTCTAGGGAAAACCAGGCACTAGGCACCTGGCTGCATTTTCAGCTTTGCCAAATTAAACCAAACTTCCAACTCTAAATGTAACAATTTAAAGATTATAACATACGGTGAACTCTATGATTCCAATTAAGACATTCTAACAGGACCTTACTCCCATGGGAAATATGTGCTAAGCATCTAACACATCCAGTTATTCACATGTGACTCCAAAATCCTTAAAAGTACAACAATTATTTTGGTTTATCAGGTCCCTGAATGCAAATAGTCTATGACTTATTAAGTATCCAGAACTCTCTCACATTTAAAAGTAATTTATTCAGTGTGCATCAAATGTCTGAATCTGTAGAATGTGTTGCTGTGCCTGAAGTTAATCTAATGTAAACACCTGCGTCAACAGTGTCTGCTTTCTCCTCAAATCCTTATCTGAATTACATCATGTTACAAACAACTTATGGTTCTCACATTACATAACTTAGGATGGCCACTTACCATCGTTGCTCAGAACATTTTAGCACCTCGTGTCTGTCACTGCGGCCTGAGCAAAGCTCTCTTATAGCCTGAATTAACCTAGACATAATCAGCGTTTCTTCTAAAAGGGCTGTTCTCAAAGGTGACAAATACCACAGCTGATTACATAAGACTTATCCTGACAAGATCTGTAATTGCACGAGGCACTGCTGGCCTTCCTCAGCTGTTTTTCCCTTACACCTGGTTGTAAAGATCAGACACTACATTGCTTCTATCAGAAGGCTGAAGTTGTAGATGTCACAGTTTATGTTTGCTGAGGATCTAACGGCTGAGATTTGAAATGCCATACTGAAAATGTAAATTATGTATTAAAAAAACTAAACACAAAGCAAAACACAACACAACACAGCAAAACAAACAAAATGTAACAAAACCTGACAGCACAACACCGCAAAGCAAAATAAAACACAAAGCAAAACAAACAATGCAAAGCAAAAACCAAACAAAAACACAACAAAGCAAAGCAAACCAAATCAAACAATGCAAAGCAAAACCAAACAGCAAAGCAAAACAAACCACAAAACACAAAGTAAAACAAAACAAATTCAAAGCTAAATCAAACAACAACTCAGCAAAACCAAAGAGCAAACAACATAACACAGCAAAGCAAAACAAAACAAAACAAACAATGCAAAGCAAAACCAAACTACAAGAAATACAAGCAAACACAGCAAAGCAAAATTAAAGGGGTCATATGACGCTGCTAAAAAGAACATTATTTTGTGTATTTGGTGTAATGAAATATGTTTGAGGTTTAAGCTTCAAAAACACATTATTTTCCACATACTGTACATTATTGTTTCTCCTCTGTGCCCCGCCTTTTTGAAACGCGTAGATTTTTACAAAGCTCATTGGTCTGAAAAGTGAGGTGGGCTCTGATTGGCCAGCTATCCAGTGCGTTGTGATTGGCCAAATACCTCAAGCGTGTGACAGAAATGTTACGCCCCTTACCATACTGTGATGCCCTGTCCGGCCGGAGCGACGAGACAAAAACATTAAAACCCATTATAAACGAGGCATTTGTTGCATCCAGTGGGGACATAATTACGGATTATAATGAGAAACTATATCGTTGGAATCACTTTCAAAACGATTTTTCTCCAGCTGATGAACGATGAAAAAATTGATGTGTGCTTAGAATAAACAGACGATATCGTTTGCTGGTGTGGACGCTAATATCGTTATCTTTGTAGTTATCGTTCTTGGTGTGAACGGGGCTTTAGTCGGTCAAACAGTTAGGCCAGCCCCAAACGTTTTGAATAAATATACGGGGGGGGGGGGGGGGGTTTATTACGTCTTATATGCTCACCAAGGCTACATTTATTTGATCAAAAACAAAGTACACTTTAAAACAACTGTTTTCTATTTGAATATGTTTTAAAAATGGAATATATTCCAGTTATGGCAAAGCTGAATTTTCAGCATTATTACTCCAGTCTTCAGTGTCACATGATCCTTCAGAAATCATTCTATCCAATTCACCATTCAATTGTTAATAATTCTTATTATCAATGCTAAAAACAATTTTTGCTGCTTAATAATATTGTGGAAACTATGATTGTTGAATATGACTAGACAGTTCAAAAGAACAGCATTTATTTGAAATATAAATCTTTTGTAACATTATAAATGTTTTTACTGACACTTTTGATCAATTTAATGTGCCCTTGTTGAACAAAAGTGTTATTTTTTATTTATTAACTTTTTAAAATACTTACATACCCCAGACCTTTGAATGGTAGAGCATCATGATTTCCACAAAAATTATAAAACAGAAATAAATGTTTTTAACATTGATAATGATAAGAAATGTTTCTTGAGCAGCAAATCAGCATATTAGAATGATTTCAACATGGCTGATGAAAATTCAGCCTTGCCATCAAAAAATAAATTACATTTTGAAATAAACTCGAATGACTAATGTTAATGTTATTTTAAATATTTGTAATAATATTTCACAATATTACTGTTTATTGAATTTTTGATCAAATTAATACAGCCTTGCTAAACATAAGGGACTTATGTTTATATTACTATATATATATATATTTATAATGTACATTATTTATAAATAATTCTATATAATTAATTCTATATAAAAATGATAAAGAGCACTCACTGGTAGGGAGATTGTCTTGCTCTGAGCTGAGGTACTCCATGCTGCTGATGCTGAGAATGGGCCCCTGAGAGCCAGGCAGCCGGATCTCAGCATCGGAGATGCCCTGGATGGGAGAGCTGGGGTCTGGAGAGTGAAGTCCACATGCCAAGGCCACATCTGCACACAGATGATCAATGCATTAGATTGCTCTACTCATAAACATTCATCAAAATAAGTTAAGCAACATATATGTAAAGTACGCACGACCGGTTTCCTTCACACACACTCACGTAGCTCCATCTGTGCCATCTTCCGGCTGACATGATGTGGGTCGGTGTTTGTGACTTGGTCATTTGGGGATGTTATTTGAGATCTCCATGGGGGTGCTAGAAAGTGAACAGCTATACGTTCTGCCGATTGTAAACCTCTGGCTCTTGGTTTCTGGTTGTTAACTCCAAATTATCTCTAATAAAATGCCAGGGGTTCATTTATGGCTGTTGTTGGCTGAAGAGTTTAGAGCCATGTTAAAGTTTACACAGGCCTAAATATAAGATTTATGTATTTGAATTGCAGGTACTGTAACATTTCCATCCATTTGGATGACATAGTTTTAACATAAACTAATAAAAGTGACTCATATGTATATCAGTCATACATAAATATATTTGAGTGTAGTTGCAACTTTACTATAAATGAAATAGTCCAATAACAGATCTAGAAACACCTGCCATTTTTCCCAATTGAACAAAATGCCAAAGATGCTTTATTAAATACAACAAAAATGGATGTTGATGAATTCATTTGCATTTTGGATTGGTGGATTTGAACCTGGGTCCCCATAAATGTTAAATTAGAAATGCAACATTAGACTCTCACATCTTACTCTGAGTGTTTACTCTTCCACATGTCATTCCAAAACTGTATGACTTTCTGTATGACAAAAGAAAATATTCTAAAAAAATGTTCATAAATGAGAGTCAGTGGGGTCTGGAACAACACTGTACTCCCTTGGCTTTCATTGCATGGACAAAAAAACAGTTCTTCAGAATATCAAGTTTTATGTTCCGCAGGAGAAACACAGTCATACGGTAAAGGTTTGGAATGACATGAGGGTGAGTAAAGGCCCGTTCACTATAACAACAATACCAGCGGACGATATCGTCTGTTTATTCTAAGTGCACACTCGTCTGCTGCTTTAAATTCTTAAACTCGTTATAGCAGGATTGATTCTGATTGGGTGTCAATGTTATGTTTTTATCATTCATCAGCTGTTATAGCTGTGGTGTGGACTCTGCTATTCTTTAATATTGAGAACGATTTTCAGAACTGTATCTTTATCATTATCTTTATAGTTATCGTCTTTGGTGTGAATAGGCCTTAAATGATGACATACCTTTTAATTTTTTGGTGAACTATCACTTTGAAAGAAGAATAAAGTGAAAAGCCATTGGTTTACCTCTCCAAAAATGGTGACACCTCTGCTGTTTGTCGTCACAGGATTGACTTTGCCTGCTCATTCCCAATCTTAACACCATCAGATGTCTAGCAATCCTTCCTCATTCTCTGCATGCATCTACTATCATTTGTGTATCACTTCCTCCACTAACCTCGACTGGATGATGATGATATTGTCTCATTATGTAACTAAACTGTTTCTAAAGCTGCCTGCTATCAGTACACTCATTTCACGCTTGATTAACAGATCTCTTGCCTCTGGCACTGTTCCATTAGAACTAAAAACTGCTGCTGACACTCTAATTCTCAGGAAACTTTGTCTAGGTCCCTCTGTGTTAAATAATTATAGACCTATCACAAACCTCTGCTGAACAGAGCTGTTGTCTCTCAACTACTACACCAAGTGTCTTACACTCTGTACAAGCCTTACCAGACAGAATATTGTCCTTTATATAGCAGGGACAGCTCTCTGCAGGGCCATGATTGACCTCCTCCTTTCTGCTGAATCAGGGGTGCTTAATATTCAACTTCTTCTGGACCTCAAGTCTTTATTGGATTCTGTCATTTAGATGTTGGCATCACTGACACTGGAAACTCTCCTCTGGTTCAGTTCTTCAATGACAAACAGACGTTTCTCCATCCTCTAGCACTCCTGTTATCTGCGGTGTCCCCCAGGGTTCTGTTTTAGGTCCTCTTTCTTTTAGCCCAAGCTAAGTTAATATCTCTATAGATATTAGTTAAGTGCTAGTTAAGGGTGCACTGATATTAAAATTCTGACCAATATTGATAAGCCGATAATTATTTTCATGTTATGGGCAATAACCGATAAATGGTTGATATTAAAATTCAATACTTTATTGTCTAAATAAATTCAAATTAAAAACCTAGAAACTAAAATGTGTTATTTTAAAGAGCACAAGTGAATTTAGGCGTCACAACATTATAATGTGCAGCATGAAAATGGATATTAATTTTGAGATTTGTTAAAGATTACATTCAACAGTGTAATTAAATTAAAATGAGCTATTAAAGATTTACCTATAAATCAAAGCCACCCATATATTTATATACCCACAGCCTCCTAATTTTGTTAGTTTGTTTTCTACTTATATTACACTATTTTGTGACACATCATTGAATAATGTCTTGCAATATTTATAGATTTATGCATTGGAAAGAAAGCTATATTTTTATTACCTTTTTTTATATATATAAAAGGTACTTTTACAACCCTCCAAAAAAGATTAAATTAAAATAATAGGGGACAACAAAAGACCAGCTTCTCTTACCTGTAGAGCTCTGCTTCAGCTTCTCATTTTTCTTTTTCCTCCATTTCCACGGCCTAAAAATACGCCCCAGCGTGGCCAGCTTGCTGTGGCGCCGGATGGGAGGGGTGTGGACTCCACTCACCAAACAGCTGGAGCGCAGCACCTTCTGCTGCTCCATCACATCTGTAACACACAAGACAGACAGGAACCGTCAGCATCTAGCAGTGACATCCATTGGTGCGACAGATGATACTGATTTCGAACATTTATACAGAGACTCAGGGTAGGTCCATGAAACTGCAACTGGTTGCGTCATTTAGAAAAGCACCTAATCTGATTGGGGCCATGTTTCAGTGGATTTATTAGTCTAAAGCCCATTCTGCTCATTTAAAACTACAGAGCAGATTATAAAACAGATGGTGACAGACTAATCAACCTATGGAGAAAGTCAGATTAACTTTAAATCAAATGTTTAGTGTTTAGTTTTTTTTCATCTTTAGAAGCACTTTAAATACTTGTTGATACTTTAGAAGAATTGTATTTTATTGGTAACACCTTTGTATAGAGACCAATAATCCCTGCCTATTATTAACATATTGGCTGTTTATTAGAATTATATAGCACATATTCTGCATGACCATATTCTCATCCCTAATACTACCCAATACCTAAACCTAACTACTACCTTACTATTAATAAACAGCAAATTAGGAGTTTATTGAGGCAAAAGTCGTAGTTAATGTTTTGCTAATGGCGAGAATTGGACGTTAAAATAAAGTGTGACCATTCTATTTTATATTTAGAGTACATCATGAATTCATTTTAGAAATACCCTACTCATTTTAGAAGCACTTTAAATACTTCAAAAATATATATTTTTGTTATTATTTGATTTTATTTTGACACTGCTGTTTGTCATCACAGGATCAAGTCTGGGCTGCAGATTTTCAGATTGGGTTGCTGATTTTTATATTTTTTAAATTATTTATTTCATTTTATTTTAAACAAAAATGGCACATTGTGGGCAGTTTATTATGTGCAGGTTGGTCATATTTTATTACAACATTAGGAAAACGTATTATATATGTAATTATAAAGCTTGACATCATTAACATAGTTTTAAATAGTGACACTGTCATGATACTATAAATTACATATATTCATAAACATTCATGTTTGAATAAGGATGGGATGAACTAATGATTTGGTTAAGTAGTTTTTCAGTTTTGTTTTGTGGTTTTAGTTCATGTCTGTTAGCTATGAGGCTATTTATATGCTTGTGTACAGATTTAAAATGTGCAGTCTGTCTCATCAGGGAAAATAGACCGGAAATGACATAATTTCCTACTCAAATGAAGGCAATTACAAAAGCATGTACCTCTTAGAACCTTTCTATTATTTTTCTACACAAATTTCCTATTATAGTCTTTCAGTTTTGAGTTAAAGCAGATGTTATCACAAATACATCTGCCTACATGAACACACACGACCATGCAGCTGAGAATAAGTCAGCAGCGGTTTATCGTGAAAGAACAATTGCATATTTTACCACACAAAGCCTCTACAACACCCACAGCAGCATCATATCCTTCAGCAGGCTAGACCTAATCCTTTTAAATATTCACACGCAGGAAAAGCTCCATTCATAGAGCAAATGATTCAACGCTCTGCAAAACACTCTGTTACTGAAATAGTGTAGTGTGGGCAGGGGCATCAAGAGAGTGCCGTCAAACCCAGAGGCACCACACCGCGCCGCATGCACGGAGGTCTTCTGATCATTGACCATGCAAGAAAAGAAGCGGGTCAATCGACTGAGCGTCTCTACCCAAGTAACCAGCGGTATATGGAATCCAGGTCAAGCCTAAAAACTGTGTGGCGCGGCGAGTCAGCAAAGCCAGGGTCAGCAAAGCCTAGCTGTTACTATGGTTACTGCTCCTCCAGATGCAGCGGCAACAGAGCAAAGCCCCCTCGGAGGCAGAATCCGAGCGCTGTATGAGGGGCTGCCACTGTCTTACGAAAGGGAGGATGGGGAAACGGGCAGGGGAGGGGGGAACGGGGGTCTGTTGCTATACGGAAGCGCTTGCAGAAGACCTCAAGCAGCCAATCAGGGCCCGGCCTTTCATAACATATAATATCAAGCACACTAGCTCTTTCTTCAATGCAGGGAGGTGCGTTACAAGGGGCTGGTGTCGCGCTGGACAATCTGCTGAAATGGAAAACAGAATAAAAATGCTAATTTATGTAATATTAGAAGCTAATATTCACATATCGGTGGGTGCAGTAACAGCGGATGTTGATCGGTTACACCATGCACGTTATTAAGGAGCACGGTTATGAAAGAAAGAGAATAGTAAATATAATCCAGTACATCTGACAATATTTGAATGAATATCTGTGCCGTTATTCATGAAGTAAGCGACAGAAGAGCAAAGCACAGCGTTTTATGAACAGAGAGCCAGTCAGCACATAGGCCTGCATGCTGGCTGTGTGCCACAGATACCCACGATACCAATATCTCAAAAACACCTGCCAAAACGCTGATATAAGACTCCCGTTGACCGAATGGACATATATATCTTGCACACAGTGTATATTAATTCTGTAAGCATTATAATACAATACAGGATAGACAGTACAATACAATACAGAGCAGAACACACCCACTTTTATTGTAACAGTAATCTTGATACAGTGCTGTATATATATATATATATATATATATATATATATATATGAGACATAAGAAAACATAAAAGAACTGAAACTTATTTTATTTTAGCTAGTGGCCAAGGCAACATTTCTCATTTTCATTTAGAACTACAATTAAAAAAAAAACACAATAGTAAAATAAAAAATAAATAAGACATATTTTGGGGGGGGGAAACTATTAAAAATGACAAAAACACACACACACACACACAAAAAATTATAGTGAAAATATATATTAAAAAAATCTAATTCCAAAAATATTAACAAAAACTATAATAGTAAATCAGCGATACTAAAATAACTGGTGTATATATTTTTTAAGACTTTAGAGTTGAAGCAGTCTTAGATCCAGGCTCTACCACGCTCTACCAAGAACGCATCCCGGTACATGAAAGATGATAATACAATAAATAAATAAATAAAAGAGAGATCATGTTAAGTAATCCTGCTTGGTTTGATTTAGGCTGCTTTAGAAGTTCATATCCTTTTTATCAAAGGCGTTTATCTCTGTCACAGCTCATTACAAAACACTTCAAACATGGTTTTAAAGAGGTGGATATCTGTTTGATTAACAAACCCAGACAACAAAGAGACTGAGAAACACTACCAGGCCCTTTTTAAGACTGCAGATTGGCAAATACTGCTTATAGCTTTGTCAGCAAATCTACACTGCTTTGGTCTGCGGCCCCCTGACATTAGTGCTTATGATAAACTTGTTTGATTCCTATTCATTTTCACCGTAAGATAAGTACAATGGACTACACAAAAAGCATTTCGAACATCTCAAGCATGTTTTATAATACCCAAAAATCAAACAGTTCAACCCTTATGCATGTTATCATGTCTGTCAGAAACTTTTAGGCTGGTTGTCGGTTGGAATATTAGAACTAAACATCAACATAACACACTTTTGGGCATCAGTCACTTCACTGAATACTAAGAAAGAAAGAATTATTACCTTAAAATCCATCTGTTTTTAAATCCCCATCATTTGAACATCACAGCATCACTGTCTGTCAAAAAGTAACACGCACAATACACGGTAGTATGAGATGCATTACTTGGAAAATCCACATTACCGGATGTTTCGACTACGACATCGCTTTCTGAGAAGAGCGCGAAAAATGACGGACAGAGCAGCTTCAACATGCTGTCTGTCAAAGACAATAACATACATAAGCCGTAATGCACAAAATTATATTTTTAAAAAATATATAGTTTATTTGCTATCTTCTCAGCTGTTTAAAAAATTAAGGCAATTATCAAAGTTTGATATAATGTTGTTTAATTTTCCAATAAAAGGTGATTCAGTTTTACATGATTTGTTACATTTAATTACCCCTTAGAAGCCTTAATAGCAACATACTGTGTATCACTGCCATTCTTGATTAAATATATATTTATAAGAGGAATTATGCATCAAAACAATTTTGTCTATGTCATTATCAAGAACATCCTTAATACGGTTTTAATATATGCATGTCAACTCATACATCTCCAGCTCAGGCAAAACACTCAGGAGATTATAAACCTTTTATATCAAACAAACTATTTGAAGCTGAAATTCAGTTTTAACCTCTACACTCAGATGTGATAGACGCCTTATTTAATAAAGCTCTTTGGCATTGGGAGAGGCTTTAAGTAAATGTAGGTAAATGTAATGGAGCTGCTTACAGTCTGTCCTCTGAGACTTTGGGTAATGCTTTATAAAAACGTTCAGTTGTAAGTCATTTATAAGTAATATATAACTAATAATTTACAAAACATTCATAAGCGATTAATGAGTGATATGCTCACAATCTGTGCATGTTTTGTTAATTCATTTACAAGTATTTAGTTAAAGATGAACTTATTAACCATTTACTAAGGATCTGTTTGATTATTTCATGATATGCTATTTTTTAAGATAACTTACGACAGATTTGTAAATCATTAGCATATTACTTAATAATCATTTGTGAACGTATTGTCATGTTTTGTAAATGATTAGTTCATCATCATCTAATCACTTGTAAATGACTTATAACTTAATCTACAAAACATAGATACAAATATTAACGTCACTTATTAATCATTTATGAACACATAGTCATGTTTTGTAAAAGATTCGTTAATCATTAACTAATCACTTATAAATCACTTACAACTGACCGTTATTATAAAGTGTTACCGAGATGTGTTTTGGAGATGCTGACCATATAAACATAAACAGCCATTTGTCTGCAGTAGATAGATACTAAGAGCTTGTTATTGTAATGTCACCCCAGAGATGAAAGTAAGAGATTGAGAATATTATTCAATTCATCAATGACTGCAGACTAAAGATGCAATCATAGCAGACACATGAACGTGGGCCTCATCGTAAGTGGTTGGGCCGGGGGGGCCTCCATATAAGTATTGCTGTTAAGGGCTGATCTGAAATCAGTTATGTTTTTTTTATTGCCAGTGTAAATAGACAAATATTCTGTTGCATAAAGAGGCCCTATACAAAGATATGAGATCAAGAATGT